AATTTACTTACTGTCAAGGAGAAGCACAAAGAAGAGGAAGCTCCTGCTCAAACTCACCTTGAATTCATTAAGAGGTCAGAAGAGTTCACAACTTTTTAATAGTTTAATATTTTCCTTTTGTCTACATAAGTCTTTTAGTTAAATTGTGTTAAAGAGAAATATTTTTCTCTAATAATCTGAATAGTGCAAAAATATTTATATGTTTTAGTTGTAAAAGGACACAACACCTTTATTTTATGTATTTATTTTTATCTGGTGCTGAGGAACAAACCCAGTGCCTCACATATGCTAGGCAAGTGCCCTACCACTGAGTTACAACTGCAGCCCCAGTACAAATGTATTTTAAAGTGAAACTAAACATTGACAAACAGAACACATTATCTACCCAGGTACCTCTTAATAGAAGAGGAACAAGCATCTGGCTCTCCTTTTGGGTTTTATCCCAATTCATCTCACTGATATAGACATGCTTCTAGATTTCTACAGGATTTGGAATCCACAATATAGGAATTCCAGAGTTGAGGTTCCATTTCCTCCTCCTCCTCCTCCTCCTTCTTCTAGGAACAATTGTATAGTAGATCACTATAAAGTAATAATGAGCAAGAAAGGGGATGAATTCAATGTTTAATCAATATCATATCTTGTTCCCTTTCAAACAGCAAGAGAACAAATTCGTGCACATAAGTTGTTCAGAAAACCTTTGCTTAATAAGTGGTCTCATATAATCACTTCATTTTATTTCATTCTTAAATAATTGGTTGTTTTTGATATATCTAACTTTTTAACCTTACTGTTTAAGATCTGACATTTTTTTTTTCCTGGAAAATATTCAAAGTTTTGTCTAGTGAGGTCTTTATTTTTATTTCTTAAGGTCTGTATTTGTCAACAGACTATCAGCCAATTTGCCAGCAATATGCATTTACAAATAAGTAGCCACAAATCAAGCCTCATAGTAAGGTAGATATCACAAAAATGTGTTAACCATGGACAGACAATTATAAAGTTGCAGCTATAGTGTTTATTCCTTTGATGTAGTACAAGGGGAGAAGACATGTGTGATTTTTCTTATTAACAATTTTAATTAACTTTTAATTGATTTCTAAGAAGATAAATGGTTTCATTATAGCATCACATGCCGAGCTGCTTGGCTAGATATTAAACATGGATGCAAAGTTCTTGACAGAGCTGCTGATAAAAGGGATTCTGTGTTTGTTATCTCATCTAACATCTATATACTCATATATAATAGCAAGTAAGTGAAAAAACCTTGCTTAGGTAGCCCATGCCACTTTACTTATACTTTTTTTACTCTTTAATTAATCAAGAGATTAAAAAAAAAACGACAGGGGAATAACTTTGCATTTTGCGAACATTTTAGTCCATTTGTCTTCATTAGTTGTATATTTGAGTAATCTTGCAATTTTTACAGTAAATTCCTGCAGAATATATAGTCTTTTGTTCTATAAGAATCATATATACTTCCTTTCATGAAGACCAGATGTCCAGTAAATTCAGTGGTAGTAGATCTGCTCAGTCTTCCTGTGTGTGTGTGTGTGTGTGTGTGTGTGTACTTGACATATTACTTACACTTGAGCTAATTTAAGAGATTTAAAAAAGATTTCTAAAAGCCTGTTTTGAGGATGACCCATCTAACATTTATTTTCAGTCTTCCTACCAATTACCTGTTTGAATATTTTCTCTCAACAAATCATCTTATCAGAAAGTATAGATTGCTATATATTTGCAACAAGTGTGATTAAAACTAAGGAATTTGAGGTGATAACATTACCCTGGATTGTCAAGGTAAGCCTACTGAATCTTGTAAGCACAGTAAATGCAATAGGGTGACTGAAACGAGTCAGAGATGAGATGGAAGAAGAGCAATTCAAAAAATTCCAGAGGAATTGGCCACCACTGCTGCTCTTATAGATGAGGCAGTGTGCCAGGAGTCACAGGATGTGAATGGCAGCTAGAAGGATGGGATTGGTCCTCACATGTCAACCACTAAAACAGTGGGGATTTCAGTCCTACAACCTCAAGCAATTGAGTTCTGTCCACAACTTGAGTGAGTAAGGAAATTAGTTTTCCCTTAGAGACTTCATAGAACATAGTCTTTCTTATACTTTGATTTTAACCAGGTGAGATCCATATTTAACTTACCTGCAGACCTTTAAAATAATGAACTTGTTTTGCAGAAGCTGATAAGCTGGTAATTTGTTACAGTACCTGATACAGACTAGAAAACGAATACAGGGGGAAAAAAAAGAAAAGAAAACCAATATAGGCAGTCCCTTGATGTATAATGGTTCAATTTGTCTTTTTTTTTTTTTTTTCCAATTTGGCCATAGTGCAAAAGCAATTCATATTCTTCGATAAAAACTGTCCATCAAAATTTTAATTTTGATCTCTTCCAAGGCTGCCAATATGTTGTATAATACTCTTTCAAGATGCTGGGCAGCAACAAGAGAGAAACAACTCCCACTTAGTCATGCTTTCTTGAGTGTAAATGACCAATGCTCTACTGTGTACTGTGTTGCTAAGCTATGAAGTTCAGTAGGTTAGATGTATTAAATGAATTTTTACTTACAACATTTTCAATTTACAATAGGTTGATCAGGATGTAATCCTATAGTAAGTCAAGTAAAATTTGTATAGATATATTTGAGAGTCCTACTGGAAATATCAGCTGGATATTTATAGAGGAACACATACACAACACTCTTCCCTCCAAATATACACTCACTCACACAGTCACACACACATACACACACATCAGCCATAGTAGTTAAATTGAAATATTTTATCAATAAACCTTCAATTATGTGGATGAATAAAAATAACTCAAGCAAGTGTCATTTTAAATTACTGATTGCATAAATGACTGATTTTGTGACCTAAAGTGTCTCAGAGACAGACAAATTACTGAAAATTGTAGGATTGTTGGAGTAATGAAGTAAAACCTACTTATATTACTAAAGAATTTATTTATCTTCAGTTATTTTGAAAAATAAAATAAAATTCACTGTTTTATTTTGGGAGTGGTACACACTGTTTTTTTTTTTTGTTTGTTTTTTTCCGCAAAGATGGTCAACTTGACTAATTTGTCAATAATTCTTGTGACAAAGTTTAGACAAAATGTACAAATTGAAGAAAATGTGGGGCTGGGGATGTGGCTCAAGTGGTAGCACGCTCGCCTGGCATACGTGCGGCCCGGGTTCAATCCTCAGCACCACATACAAACAAAGATGTTGTGTCCACCCAAAACTGAAAAATAAATATTAAAAAATTCTCTCTCTCTCTCTTTCATTAAAAAAAAAAGAAGAAAATGCATCTATAGACACTCTTCTCTTCTTTCATAGTATTTCTTTCCTCCTCAGGCAGTACTATAATTCTTCTGCTGTCTTTTTTCAGGATTAAGCCTCAAGAGAGGGTGACCTCCCAAGGGCACTTTTGTTTTGATGAGTCTAAGGGACAAACACTGTTGAAATGTCTGGTATTGTGACCTGTAGAAGAAGCACAGTTAAAAACATGTTTCACATATTGGACTTATCAATTCAAACCAGACTCAAGATTTGACAAAACTATGCATCCCTCTCCATTGTTTATAAAGCTTAAAGTGGAACTGCATGTGTACTGCTAAAAAATTGGACATTACTATCTTATGTGCATATATGATTTACTCAGCCAATGTAATTCTATATCATGTACAACCAAAAAAATAAGAAGTTATACTTCATATATATATATAATATGTCAAAATACATTCTACTTATTAGTTATGTATAACTAATAATAAAAGATACATTTTAAAGTGAATTGTACCATATCCCAGGATCTGCATTCATTACCTGACTATTTTGTCCTTGATGTAGAAAGCACTCAAGCATCTTGTTTTCCCTCCTTTCCTTGCTGATAGCTTTGAGTACAACTGTAACATTTCACCTCTTCCTAGATGTATCAATTGTTTTTTGAAGAACAATAGCAAAGAATTGTTTAAAACAAAATGAGTTTTAAACAAAATGTTTAAAACAAAATAAGTATTTGATAGTGCAAAGTCATTGTTTAGAAAACAATTTATTGCATTAGTTAGACTAATTTTCATAATATTAATTAGACTAATTTTCATAATATTCCTTTAGAATATTTACCTAAAATTTACTCATTGTTTTGATACAACATACCTTTCAGGACTTAAATATTTTCACCAGGTTTACCATAGTTCCAACTGTTCTCTATTATTATGGATATTTATATTCTAATATTAAAGTATCCCCTTGCATTTATACTTTACAATTACTGGATTTTTATTCTCACTTGGGTTTTGAATGCATTTAGTTTCAAATCTCAGTTCCATACATTCATTTAACATGAATTCATTAATTTCACAAGTATTTATTAAGTAGTTTTATATATGAGACATTGTACTAAGAACTGGGACACTGAAGTATTTATTTCTTGTGTTACCCTAGGCAATACATTAAATTCCATAAGCCACATTTTTCCATTTACAAAATGGGACCAATATTTACTCACTAAAAACATCAGGAGAATTAAATGAGGTAAAAACACATAGTGCTAAAACATATTTAAATATGAAAATGAATATAAAAAGAACTTGAATGCAAACACATAGACACTTAAGTTATTACTCAGGAAATTGTTTTAATTAAAAAATATATGTTTGTCTTACTTTGGCATTCAAAAACTATTAAAAATAATACATGAAACATTCAGTATTTTTATAATATGTATTTTCTGTCATAATATCTTATTGTAATGCTAATGATGTTATCAATGTGTAAGTTGTGCTCATTATGAATGAGTATGCTAACTAAATTATGTATATTCCTTTTCATGTTTTGGACTGTGCATTTCATCTTCATTATCTTTAAAATTTTCTCATTAGAGATAAAAAGAATATCTGATTAGGAAAATGTCATAATATGTCAGTAACATACCAGAAGCTACTGTGTGAATTCTTTGTTTTTTATTTCTTTTAGGCAACAGACCCTGATGCTGGAATAAATGGCCAAGTGCACTACAGTTTGGGTAACTTCAATAATCTTTTCCGCATCACATCCAATGGGAGCATTTACACCGCAGTGAAGCTTAACAGAGAAGTCAGGGACTACTATGAACTTGTTGTGGTGGCAACTGATGGAGCAGTACACCCTCGTCATTCGACTCTAACACTGGCCATCAAGGTTTTGGATATTGATGACAATAGTCCAGTGTTCACCAATTCAACATACACTGTTGTTGTGGAAGAGAATCTGCCAGCTGGGACCACCTTCCTTAAAATAGAGGTATATGGAAAAAGCATTAGTTTGATTAATTCTGAATTATTAGATTTGCAGTTAGGGTGATGTATCCAAAATCAGCAGCAAAAATACAATTAACCCACTTACATTTTAGTTTCACATAAAATGAAGGAATTATATTACAAGTATATATCAAATATTGTATTTTGCATTTTCTGTGACAACCTCTCATTGGGAGATCCTGCAAAATTAATGGGAAAAAAGGCAAATTTGTAAGAAAAAATATACTTTCTAACAGATTTTTTTTTAATTTACAAAGTTAAGCTGTATATTTTTGTAACATTGGAAAACTTCTCATAAAAATATTATTACTTAAATATTCAATATTCAATTGTGTGTATTTTTCACATTAATCTTTGTTCTAGCACAAATATGCATGTGTGTAGGTATGTGCATATATGTATACACAGATATACATGTGTACTTCTCCTGTATTTTTCAGATATTGTTACATCCATCATACTGTACATTCTTTTTCACTTTACGTGTACAACAAGCATCTTCTAAGGCTCTTACTTTTTTTTTTTAAATTTCATCTCTAAATCCAAATCTCTTTTAACACCTTCACTGTAACATTCCCAGAAACTGAACATTTTGGTTCAGTAGGTCAGATTGACCCACTAATATGCATTTTTAGCAACCAGTTAATTTATATAGGAGTTCTATGAAGAACATTTTGAAATATTGTAATCATTCATCCCTCCTGCTAAGAATAACTTGAATTTTGATAGAATTCTTTTCAAGAATCTGTATTTCTTCCATAATTCAACTCAACAAAGATTTCACTATTCAATAAACATTAAGGAATCTAATTAAGGCACATACTGAACAGATAGAAAACCATTATCTCTCTATTTTATCCTCCATGCATCGATTCAACCATCCTTTCATTCAACAAGCACATATCTTCAGTGTCTAATTGTATGCCAATTTCTCTTGAAGACATAAAGAATACAAGAATAAGTTAACAAGACAGAGTTCCTGCTTTTCTGATATTTTCAGTCTGGTTTACTAAAAAGACAAGTAGATTGGTAATTAAAATAGTGATTCTTGAGACCAGTGGCTGACAAATTCAGAGGTGGAACTCCAAAACTATGCTTGAGCATCAAAAGAACATTTTCTCATGAAAGTTATTTCTAAATTGTTAACTCAGGAGCAAGTCAGAGTCTCTAAACAAAGAGAGAAAAAAAGATTATTTAAGGTAATGGAAAAAAATCTTCTCAAAATCCTGGAGAACAGGGTGAAGTTTGAGGGGCTAAAGAACTAGAAAATGTGGTGGTACATCTCATCATGTTAAGGGGATTGGCGCTCCCATAACTTGGATGTTGAATGCTCTCATAAGGCCCATATATCTTAAGTTTGGTCCTTTGGCACTGTTGGGAAACTGAGGAATCTTTAGGAGGTGAAGCCTAGGGGGAGAAAGTGAGGTCACTGAGGATGTGCCCTTAAAGGGGATATTGAGAAACCATCCCCTTTCTGTCTCACTTTGCTTCCTGGCTGCCATGAGGCAAACAGGCCTCTTCTGTCAGGAGTTACTACCATAATGTACTGCCATAGGCCTAAAGTAATAGAAATGTGACCCAGGACAGAAACCATATGAGTAAAAATAACTTTTCCCCCTTTATAAATTGATTTTCTCAGGTACTTTGTCACAGTAATCTAACTTTAAATAACAAAGTGGTTAATGCAAATTGAAATGAATATTGAGAATTGTAGGCAGGAATATGACACAGAAATATCTGTGCTTTGACAGTAACTTTAGAGTTGTGATGCCAGTAATTAGAGGAAAACAAGACTGACCCTTACAAAGAAGGTGCTTGCATTAATGAATGTACATTCAACAAACTCAAACTATCCCAATTTTTGTTCTTGCTGTTTTATTTCCTCTAACTTAGGTGCTTTTCCCAGTCTATTCTACTGAATGAAATAGCTGCCCCACTTCAACAAAAATCCTATCTTTTCATCTAAATTTCAATTCCGAGTGCTTTTCATATAACATTGATTTTTTTTCCTTCTATTTGTGTACTTCTATAATTATTTCTGCTTTGAGGCCATAACCTAAAGTGCAGGAATTATGGATTGATTCATCTTGGCTTTTTTCATAGTACATTGTACCTAACAACTATCCAGTAGAGACTAGTTAGAGGAAGGAAGTTGTAAAGCAGTGATCTTTAGGAATGTATTATAGGATTTCAGTGAGAACAAATTTCTCCTTATATGTCCTTCATTTTCTTACAGTGAGTGTTCTATTATGTTCATGAAAGTTACCCAATAATTACTTTTATTTATAATAGTTTCATTATTATTAAACCAGAAGAAAACAATGATTTATGACATGTTTTATTTCTTTACTTTGCTATGATTCATTAAACAAGTGGTCTTCCAAATAAAGTAGATAGTCTTAAAATCAACAATAGAACCCCATGGATCTCTCTCTCTCTCTCTCTCTCTCTCTCAACTCTACCTCTTTCTTTCCCTTTCTCTCTCTGTCCCAACTCTACCTCTTCCTTTCCCTGATAAATGATAAATTACTTAACAAATTACTTGCCTTTGCAGACATGTCTTTTGGTCATCATTAAACTCTTGCTGTCCCAGACACTGACATATGACTATCATCAATTCTGCTTGCCTCTATTTTGGCAATACCACTGATTAAACAAAACAAAACATTCTTTTACTTAACTTGTTACAGGCTAAAGATGTTGACCTTGGAGCAAATGTGTCATATCGGATAAGAAGCCCTGAAGTGAAGCACTTTTTTGCACTACATCCATTTACAGGAGAGCTGTCCCTTTTGAGGAGTTTGGATTATGAGGCATTTCGAGACCAGGAAGCAAGTATCACTTTTCTGGTGGAGGCCTTTGATATTTATGGAACAATGCCTCCTGGTATTGCTACTGTCACAGTGGTTATAAAGGTAAGGATTGTGGAGACTTCCAGTGGCCTACTTTCTCTCTACATGTAACTACTAATTCTTATATGATACCTATTATATTTTGGTCAGTAAACCATAGTAACCATAATGTTGCCAACCAAGCATACAGGCTGAATTTTTTATGTAAATTATTTATGAAGACTTGATAAATTGCCATTTTTTTTAACCTTTGAAAGATAAATTTGAAAGAGGTACTCAATATGCATTAAAAGACTAGTTTCTGAGTCTGTATTAGTAGTATCACTTTAGTCAAATTCTAATCTAACTAGAAAACAGTTCAGTTCAAATTCCACAGCACCATGGATATTAACTTACTTCAGATTTTTTTCATTAAAAAATAAAGTAAAAAGTGAAAAAAAAAAATAGAGTCTGGATGTTTAAGTGTTCTTAGGTACCAGAACTAATTACACTATTATTTGGAAATTCAAGAGTCTGGGATAAAGAAAGCTTCAGAGTCAGGTGGAATTGAGGTTTTAATTTGTTCTATTTTGGTATCTACAGTTACAGTCCATAAAGTTTTTAACGTGATCTGTTTAGTAGAGTTTAATTATGATACATTACTAGGGATTTTGTATTCACTACTTCTTACTAGCTCTAGAAATGTGCAAATACATTTTTTCCTACAATAAGAGAAAGTTAGTTTCTCAAGATGACTACAGTTCTTGAAGGGCAATTCCAGTAGAAGAGCATATGTATCTTGGTTCTAAGGTAAGCAGTCAATGGCAACTTTTTTATAATTCTCATTTTTATAGGGCACTATAAATTTATATATGATGAAAGAAGACGTCATTGCCTTCTTGGGCTTTTTAGAATTGATTTTTTAAAAAGAAGACATGCAATGAGTTTACTTAAAGAATAAAGTATCGATATGAAAGCATAGAAGGTTTTATCAATACTGAATTATAACAAGTGCATCACTCCTGTGGGTTAATGTCCTTGACCATAACATCTGCATGTTTGAACTTCTTCTTCTTTTTCTTTTTTTTTTTTTTAGATGATTTCAGGATTATTCTGAAATAATAGAGTGGGATATAAGGATTAGCTCTTTCCTCTTTTCACTTTACCTAGGCTCATCTGCTGGCATGTACATTGACACCATTTCTTCCTAGAATTATTGCTGCCACTTCTAAAATAATCTAGAAAGGACACCATAAGCTACCTCAATTCTTACATACCCGTAAGCTGTCAGGAGAGTTTCCTTAGGATCTGGTTTTCCTTTTTCTCAGGAGTTCACAGTATTATACTTATTTCTTCCACTTTGTATCTACTTACACTGTATCTATTTAAGGAGTAGGAAACATCAATTTCAGAGAGTTAAAATTTTACTTAGAACCAAGTTTTCTTTGGAAAAAGGGAATTCAAAATATCAAAATCTTTCCTTGGACTGTCTGCTTTTCTTTTGGCACCTTTTTGCTATATGATGATTTTTTCCTGCTCTAGGAACTTTTTCAGAAGAACCAAGGGACACCAAAAATCACAGGAAACCTAGAGTGGGGAGGGGATCAATTTGTATTTTGAAATGCTATTTTGTCACACTGTTGTGTGATAGAATCTAGAAATCTGCTTACAAAAAAAATATCTAGGGAAATGATGCTAACCATGGTGATGAATTCATCACGATAGGCAAACAGATGGGAGAGGAAAAAAAAAACAAACAAACTAGGAGTGATGTAAACAGATCAGTGATACCAAAACAACTTCTGAATAAGGTGAAAAAAACAAAGGCTCTCTCACTCTAAATCATCCTTGTCTACCGAAATGGTTTGGTAGAATTGGACAATTAAAAAATCAAGAGTAGACAAAATATTTACTTATTAATGGTATGGAGCAAAGCAAAGAAAAGTTAGTGTTTACTGCCCTTTGGTTTCTCCCTAGACGGAAATTCAAATGGCCTTGTCTTCTGTCTCAGAACGATGTTTGATAATGGCTAATTGTAAACATTCCTGGATTCTGAGTTGGCTACTCTGAATTCAGTTTGCATTCATTTGTTTGGATTATTATTATTAGTTTTTGATGGAAAAAAATCAATGGAATCAACTGGATCCAAATATATCACCTACAAAGATAAGATATTCATTATATAAGCCTTGTTCTCTCTAGAATTCAAGCCTCTTAATTTCTTCAGGTTTCCAGGCACTCCTCCCTCACTTTATTTTAACATAAGGCTATCACTTGAGGCTTACTTCAGCCTCTGTGAAGGAGTGACTCACAGGGGGCTCATGTCTTCAGGGAAGAATGCTAGTCTGATTTTTATAGTGTCAGTTGTTTCATCTTAGAGAAATTGAACTATTCCCATCATCAGGATGCATAATTCATGTAAAGATAATTTTTATTTATTGTACTTTTAAACAAAACAATCTATTTAATTCTATGCATGTTTAAGATAATATTTTTGTTTCTTTCCAAATGACTTAAGCAAAATAAATTTTTCAGAAAGTTTTCCCAATAGCAGATTGAAACTTACTTACCTTTTCTATGATAACTAAAGGTCAGGTATAACAAACAGAAATTTAAAATTCTGTTATATACCAATGAATTCCATAAAAATGTTATCATTATTTGTTTTTAAGATAAAAATGAAGCACAGACTCATTTTTCCACAAATGCAGATTTTCCCCAAGCTTGTGAATTTTCTGCTATTGGTCTGCACTGTCACTATTGTAAAAGGCTGTTTTGCTGATAACATAATTGGCATGGTATTTGCTAAAGAGATATTTTTACCCAAAACATTCACCATGGGGAAAGCATCCTGAAGATTTCTCTTTGAGCAGAGACATGATTTCTTTTGTAAAGAAGAGGAAGAAAAGAAAAAGAAAAAAAAAGATCAGGTTTATAACGTGTAGCTCATCAAACATTTAAAATTGGAAAGAGATATTTGGGAGAAAATTGAAGAGATATAGGGGAAATATTTGCACGGTAAAAATAAAATAAGTTTGTCACAAAAATCTACAAAAAGTTTTCTTAGTGTCTAGTTTCAAGAATATAAAAGAAAATCAGTGTTGATCATATAAATAATACATATTTTGTTGCTAAGTTTTTGTAGAACATTATTAGGCCTTTCTTTTTGTATGTTTTTATTGAATGTCAATACCAACAGAATTGGGGATGATTACGAATTAGATAATACAGGAAAATTTCTGGAATATAAAAGCACAATTTTAAAAAATTTAAAAAGTAACATCCAGTGTGAAATCTGGCCTTATAGAAGAAGTTGTCACATAAATCAGTCTCACCATCTGAGTTGTAATATAATATAAAAATACAAAGTTTGTTCTATGGCAAACTGAGAACTAAACACAAATCAGAACAATGTAATATGTAAATATATATGTGTAAATATTATATATACATATATGTGTATATTTGACACTAGAGAGTATTAAAAGGGAAGTAAAGAACTTGTGGAAGAAAAATAAATTACCTAGATGAATAGAATGGTTGCATAGGAGTAGGACAGAGAAAGAGAATGGAGGTTGTGTGAAAGAAGATTGCATTCATCTTGGTTGAGTTTGTCTGTCTCACAGTATGCAGGGATGAGTAAAAGGTTCAGAAATGATTATAGGCAGGGATGAGTAAAAGGTTCAGAAATGAAATACCATACATGTTTTGGTGTGAATGTGAGATTCTCCCCAAAATTCACTTTGAGACAATGAAAAAATTCTTAGAGGTGAGATGATTGGGTTATGAGATCCTTAAAACATCAGTGTATTAGTGCCCTGGTAGGGATTAACTGATTGGTAACTGAAGGCAAGTAGGGTGTGGCTGGCAGAGGTGGGTTATTGGAGGTGTGTCTTTGGGGTATATATTTTTTATCTGGCAAGTGGAGATCTCCTTCTCTGCTTCCTGATCATCATGTGAACTACCTTCCTCTGCCACACTTTTCCACCTTGATGTTATGCCTCACCTTCAGCCCCAAGGAATAGAGCCCTGTCTATGGGCCAAGAACTGTGAAACTGTGAGCCCCTGAATGAATGTTTTTCCCCTAAAATTGTTCTTGTCATGTCTTTTAGTCATAGCAGCAAAAAAGCTGACTAAAATGATGTACAAGGCCTGAGGTTGTCAAATGCTGTGGATCTTGGAAGATAAAGTTAGCATTTTCATCTTTCAAAGGGATTTCTTCCTCCAGAAAGAAGAGGAATGTTTGTAGCCTATAGCATATAAGAATGTGCGTAGCCTTTCCAGGGAGAAACTGGATGTCATTACCAAGGTGGAATTTACTAACCCACGAAATTCCAAGAGACAGTCAGAGTGCCACTGATCCTCCATTTGCCACAGCGCTGGTACAGTCCTGGATTGGATGTGGTCCAAATAGCACAGCTTGGGAGAAGAGGAAGTAATATATAACTCAGATACTACAAAACATCTAAACATTTCAAGATTTACAGCATCCATACTTCCCTTCTCTATAGGGAAGAATTTGAATAAAAGATGATTACAATGTACTAACTGGTAGAATATGGCCCAGTACATTGGTCATTATTATTAAAAACTTATTCATTGTTCTCTTGGGTTGTTTGATATGAGCACAATATTTGTTTTAGCCTATGGCCTCAGATATATCTTCTGTTTTATTCTACATGATCAGGCTCTTAGCCATGTGTTCTTTGTAATATATTCACCAACAAGTTTAAGGAATGTCTTGGGGCTGAATTGGTTTTCTTAAGACATCTTCCTGCTCTACCATTCTAGAATTTTAGTTCTAAGATGTAACATATTGCCTTTAAGGAAATAAACTAGAGGAAACAAATAAAAATGTGCACGACCAGAGTTCAAAAAAATAGCATCTCATAAACCTTAACAATTCTTGTATCTATGGGTCTCTTTTATGGCTTCCTAAATGTCACCTGCTGGCTTCTGGGAGTCTTAAGAAAGTGCCTTCCTCCTATACATGATAAAGTTCTTTTAACTTTCACCAATTATCACATTCTCTACAGATGTCAAGGCTCATGAATCCAAACTTGCTATTGCCACAAGTCTCCAGA